CTGCCATCCCTCTCCAGCCTCTGACAGACAGAGGCCAAGGACACCATTTTATCCCCTGGCTAATAGCCTTTTATGGACCTAACCTCCAGAAAATTATCTAGCTTCTCTTTAAACTCTATTATAGTCCTAGCCTTCACAGCCTTCTCTGGCAAGGAGTTCCACAGGTTGACTACACGCTGTGTGAAGAAGAACTTTCTTTTATTAGTTTTAAACCTGCTACCCATTAATTTCATTTGGTGTCCTCTAGTTCTTCTATTTAGGGAACTAATAAATAACTTTTCTTTATCGGCCCTCTCCACACCACTCATGATTTTATATACCTCTATCATACCTCCCCCCCCTCCCCAGTCTCCTCTTTTCTCTGCTATTTATCTTCACCCTGGATCCCTTAATTCCATTCATCTGAAGAAGTGGGTTGTGCCCACAAAAGCTCATGATACTATCTACATTTTGTTAGACTCTAAGGTGCTGCAGGACTATTCAATGTTTTTTAAGTTTTACCATTACTAGAGAGAGAGAGAGAGAGAGAGAGAGAGAGAGCGAGACAGACAGACACAGACACAGACACACTTCTCTGTTTTCTTAAGCCCATTCTAAGTACACAATGTTATCCAGATTTTAAGACTGGCTATATTGCATTTACTCCTATTCTTTCCTAATAATTTTTTCATTAGAATTGTTATTGTACTGGGGTAACCACTATGAACGGTTCCTCGAGACAATGATGAAAAGGCAGAAGTGAGTGAGAATAAAAGGTGCCCAGCCTGCAGCATTTGATCAAAGACATGGGGCAGGTGATACTCAACCCTATCTCCGTGTCGGCTAGTGACACGAAGAAAGGCAAATTACCATAGTTTGTGCACACAGTCCCTAGCACTATGGGGACCAAATTTCAGGTAGGGTCCTCAGTGCTAGAAGACATGTACGTTTGTTAGGACATTGCTGTGTATATTTCATGGGGACCAAATTTCAGGTAGGGTCCTCAGTGCTAGAATACAGGTACGTTTGTTAGGACATTGCTGTATATATTTTATAATATTAAGTTAAATATAGTTAATTCTGTGCTGCTTTCATCGTGTCATGTAATTGTAAAATGTTTGTAATAAAAAGTACAATATTTATTTTACAATGAATATTTTCAGTAGTACAGTTGTTTGCCAAGAGCTTTCTGATTCTTTGGGATGGAAAGCACTACAAAAACAATCATTATAATTACTCGAGTGCAGAAATGAAACCGTTCTTTTCCGGAATAACTGCTGCAGTCTGCTAATTAGAGGCATGTACTGAGACTAATTCACACACATGAGGAAAAATTATGATTGAGTCCTGCCTTTGTACTTCACCTTGAGAATAAAACCGCTGGGAAATGCTGTTTAAAGTTTTCTGCACAAAGATGAAGCTTTTTAAAAGACATATAATATAGTTACTCCCTAAGGCTTGATTCCACAGGCACTTCTTATCGGGCATGGTCCTACTGCTTGGAGAACTCTCAGGTTAGCAAGCACTATTCACAATGGCACAAGTTCACAAAATCAGCCTCCTGCAGGGGATATCCACTTACCAGTCAATCCCTAGTTCCACTGAAATTAATGGAAATTTTGCCACTGACTTCAATGGAGACAGGATTTCACCCCAACTATCCATGTGAGTGAACCACAAATGAGTGGAGTGAGACCCACCCACAGCAGCAATGGACCAGAGTACAGAGCTGTTACGTAGCCCCTCTTCTAGCCTATGACCTAAATTGAATGCTGAGGGCGCCCCCGTTGACTGCAGTACTCCTTGCTGTTGCGAGGAGTAAGGAGAGTCGATGGGAGAACTTCTCATGTTAACCTCCTCCTGTAGGGCTGTCCCAGAAAAATCAATGCAAAGTCAACTCCAGCTACGCAATTCATGTAGCTGGGGGTGCAAATCTTACATTGATTTGTTTCCGCTCATGTAGACCTGGCCTAAGATACAGCTTGGGGCTTCAGATTATGAAAATGTACCAGTTGCATCCTTGCCCATGTACCAGTATGTATGCAAATATAAAACTATTTTTTATTTTATTGTCCTTTCTGTTAGAATAATACACATTTTTGAGTGATGCTAGGGGCTTCTTAAACTTGACATAGTTTAGGGTCTCAGCACATCTTAATCTGGCCCTGCTTTTATGAACAAGAGCCTCCATCCAGCTGCAGTGGGCACT